TCACGTGGCTTCTTTGAAGTGTGACTTGAACACTGCGTCAAAGGTATCTTGTAGACGATGTCGGCTCCCGACGCGTCGCGGTTCTTTTTCTTCACTGAACCGCGACAGGGGCCGACATCGTCTACCAGATACCTTTGACGCAGTGTTCACGTCACACTTCAAAGAAGCCACGTCACAAGCATCACCAGCCTCAGTCTACTGAAGAAGACCAGAGTGACTGGTCGAAAGCTCTATGTGATAGAATGTTTTAGTGTTGGATCGAATGTTCTAACTAAACATATAACTACCAACACAGATGAACTTTCATGATAAAAATCAAGGATGTTTTACAAGTGACCGATTTAAAGCAATTTAATGCTGACCGCCCTGTGTCTGTTCGGCTGCACAGGCCAGGCACATGGTGCGGGAGTCACTGTTGCAGTAGTAGTCGTAGGACGGACATGGACCCCGAACCACTCGCTCTATGGCGTCCTGCAGAGTCGCGCCCTCCCACTGGGGAAGGGTCTGGGAAACTACGAACTTGGGGACAGTGGAGGGGTAGGAGGGGCGGTAGTGGGATTGTAAGATATCTATAGTCCATGAGCCAATGACAAGTCCATTACTTAACTCGTAAGCCCACGTGGCCAGCCCTTCCCAGAAACCCAGGTCTCTACACGCTAAATCAGCCCAGGACATTCTGGCATCGTACTGAGGACCCGACATTAAAACGTTCCACCCCTTGACAGGCCCCCACTGCCCCGTGACGTCATCGTACAGCTCCACACAGCCGTAGAACTCTCCCCCCACCAGCCTGATCGTGTTGGTATAGTCCGTGATGACGGTGGAGCTGTTGTAACGATCTGTGTCCAACACAAAATTAAAAAGGACTTATCATTTTTTAACTTAGAACTATAAAGTGATAGGCTAAAGAATTAGATGTGATGTTTGTAGAGAGTCATAGGAAATATACCATAAGAGAGGTTGGTTGATATAGGGCCTTAGAGGTGGATGGATAGGAAAAGATTATACAAAAACGTATACCACAGATTGTTGGATGAAACAAGTATCAAGCTTCTTACATTCTGTCTGACTACTTTTAAGCGACATGTGTTTAATGGTTGCCAGTTTAAAAAAAAATTAAACAAATAGCAAGGCCTTACCCAGACACACGGGTTCTGATCCCATCCATGTGCTGTTGCCCACGTTACAGTAGTAAGCTCCGTCCTCCACGCCGTATCCGGAAATGTATTCAGAATACGGAGGTCCCACCAACATGTCGGCTTCTGGCGGGCAGGTCACGTTACACCGTCCGTGTAGGACTAACCGGTCCTGAGACCACGTCGTCTTCACGTCGCTGTAGGTGTAGTCACAGCTCACGGTGACGTCATCAGTGTCCCACGGGAAGTCGCCACAGGGTCGCCAATCTTCACCAAAAAAGTCGATGAATAAAATTTCAAACGATGACGTTACCTTGCCAATCGCAATATAAATATGTCGTCGTATGAAAATGTTATATGCAAATGATGGGTTGATATTGTGAACAGGCGAGACAAAGCATTATGTACTGCTGAGAAAACAGATGCTACCAATACCAGAGATGGTCAAGACAAATTCAAACAAAGAAAGAAGCAAAATACGTCAAATACAGTTACTCAAGCAACTGGATATGATTTTTAAGCGATCAGACGTTTCAGGAAGCATCCGAAAAAAACTCCGACGGATCTTCCAAACTTCTACAAAGGTACCAAGGCTAATGTCATTAACTCAGATATCACAAACTCAAAAGTGAGGAGCTCAATTGTAACTACACCTACATCGGAGAGACCGGTCGGCTGTTCCTCAGCCATTTTCCAAACCTACAACACAACCAGAATCACTCTTTCAAAATCGAATCGACTCATTTACGTCAACATTGTCTTTACTTTGTCTAACTTATGTTTCCTATTGAATTAGAAAAAGATGTCTTTATTCATTTATCTCATATCAATTGAGTTTGTGGTTATAAACCCGCGGTTCCTAAGAATTCTTTGGCGTCACTGACGAAAGGTAGTGGATGCTACCTGAAATGTCTGAACGTTTCCAAAATCATATCCAGTTGCTGGAGTAACTGTATCTTATTTCCTGGATGTCTAACCTTCACCGACGTGGAAGCAAAATGTTTGGTTGAAGCAAAAAGGGAACAAACGTTTTAGTACGTAGTATTTTCAAGTCACTCAAATAAGAGAAAGGCTACAAATTTACACGTTGGCTACGATTCAACAAACTTACACACAGTTTCATAAAGGAAATTCTCGTCAAAGAAACCATTTGGTCTGTTGTATTAGTTTAGTAGTTGACAATGCTTAAAATGCTGAAAAATCTAGCCTCCTTCGCAGACATGTGCGGTGATAACAGCGTTCGGTGAATGTTAATAGGCGATTTTAAGCGGAAGTCCCTCTTCATTGGAGGCTAGAAATCTATATCTTTTGTAACATTACTAGAGCAACACCTGGTGTGAGTGCAAATACCCTAGGACAAAATTACACCATTGAAGGATATCTCAGAGTGTTATCTACCTATTTTTGAACAGCTTATGCGTTAGAAATACTCCTGTAGTTCTAACCAGTTTGCTACCGTGTGTTCTGAAAATATAACCCTGACAAATCGGTTTCCTCACCTGCTGAACCAGGTATTGACACTGTTGTAGGAATGGCGTCGGTTGTATTAGCGGTCGTCTGATCGGTTGTCCAGCCGGACACCAACGGCAGGACTCCGCACGCGGCAAGTAGCAACACCAACATCGCAGAACCGGATCCTCAAAAGAACCGGACTCTCCGACAGATCAATATTCTAAAGAAATTCTCTCTCTTCTTTACAGAGTCACCGTACTAAAAACACGTCCGACTCCCAACCAGAGCATAACTGTTCTGGTCCTGCATTAGTACTGTGAGAATCCCGCCAGTCTTTGTCCTCAAATGTCTATATTCTCAGTCCAAAATAACTTATTATCACATTCTGCAAAGACCGGAGGCATTTGATGCTGGTGTGAAGGTCCGGTGGATACATTTGTACAATTTGAACAACTGACTGAACCTCCCGAGTTCCCACGTACCCGACACGACCCTAGGTTAGACCTAAATGGCCTGAAATATTCCACGGATGTCCTTATAAAATTTTACCTATGGTGGTATTCAGGTAGAGTCTAAATCATAGACCTGAATACAGAAAAGGTCCATGGTAATAAAAAAAATGGGAAAAAATTATTGTCGTCCACCAAATACAAAGTTATCGGAGACCACTTCTGAACTAGCATCACTGGACCTATCGCTATATTATATGGTTAAACAAACTGTCGGTAATCGATGAAATACAAATAAAAGCCCATTAGTCTATCAGTAAAATGTCCTGTTATTTCAACCTTTTGCTCTTTTTATGTGTTTTATGGACTATTACTGCCGCGCCAATTGCCGCACCGGACAAGGCTGTTAGATAAGTTTAGCACTTCAAAAGGTTCTAGTCATGTATAGACCTGTTCCTATGCAATATTTCATGGGTATTGTAAGTCATAAGTACTTTATTATAATCATTGTAAATATTCCACACTAAGGAAGTAAAGTACTAGTATTGTTATTGGGTGTCAGTACATAGGCTAGCCCCTCGGCTCCAGGGCTTACCCTGGTGCCAGACTGTTGCCAGGGGCAGTATTCAGGCTGTTGCCAGGGCCAATATACATGTATACAGGCTAGTTCTTCAGCTCCAGGGCTAGCCTGGGTGCCAGACTGTTGCCAGGTCCAGCACACAGGCTAGCTTCTCGGCTTCAGAGCTAGCTTGGGTGTCACAATGTCATACATAGCGATAGTTCCAGTGCTGCAACTTCAGAAGTGGTCTCTGATGACTTCGAATTTGGTGGACGATCAGCTCTATATTTAGACAACAGTCTGGCACCCAGGCTAGCCCTGGAGCCGTGGAGCTAGCCTGTATACTGGCCCTGGCAACAGTCTGGCACCCAGGCTAGCCCTGGAGCCGGGGAGCTGGCCTGTATACTGGCCCTGGCAACAGCCTGGAACCCAGGCTAGCCCTGGAGCCGAGGGGCTAGCTAGTATACTGGCCCTGGCAACAGTCTGGCACCCAGGCTAGCTTTGGAGTCGAGGAACTGGCCTATATACTGGCCCTGGCAACATTTTGGCACCCAGGCTAGCCCTGGAGCCGAGGGGCTAGCCTATGTACTAGTCTGACACCCAATAACAATACTAGTACTTTACTTCTTTAGGGTGGAATAATAATGATTATAATGAAGAACATATGACTTATCATACCCATGTATTATTGTTAAGTAGGAACAGGTCTATACATGACTAGAACCTTTTGAAGTGCTAAACTTATCTAACAGCCTTGTCCGGTGCGGCAATCGGCGCGGCAGTAATAGTTCATAAAACACATAAAAAAGAGCAAAAGGTTGAAATAACAGGACATTTTACTGATAGACTAATGGACTTTTATTTGTTTTCGTCGATTACCGACAGTTTGTTTAACCATATAATATAGCGATAGATTGAGTGCTGCAACTTTAGAAGTGGTCTCCGATAACATTGTATTTGGTGGACGATCATAAATTTTTCGTCCAATTTTCTTATTACCAAGGACCTTTTCTGTGTTCTGCTCTGTTTTCAAACTCAACCTGAATATCATTATAGGTAATTTTGTCTATGGAAATTCGTGGAGTATTTCAGGCTATTTAAGCCTAACCCAGGGTCGTGTCGGGTACGTGGGAACTCGGCAGGTTCAGTCACTTGTTCAAATTGTACAAATGTATCCACCGGACCTTTACACCAGCATCAAAAGCCTCCGGTCTTTACAGAATGTGATAATAGGTTATTTTGGACTGAGAATATAGACATTTGAGGACAAAGTCTGGCAGGACTCTCACAGTTCTGATGTAGGACCAGACCAGTTGTGCTCTGGTTGGGAGCCTGACGTGTTTATGATAGCTCTGACCGGTGAGCCTAGATAGACTCTGTGCCTGTTGAGAATTCTATTCTGCCATGTTGGTGCTGATGGTTGCCGTGTGTGCCGCCCTGCCGTCGCTGCTGGTGTCGGCTCAGACAACACCAGCTGCAGGTGAGAAAACCGATTTATTAGGGCTGTTTCTTTAAACACACGGTAGCAAACTGGTCATGAAAATTAACACGACGGATAGGAGCGCATCTGATTCTGGTCCTGTGATGTCGGTGCTGCTGATTGCCGTGTGTGGAGCATTGCCGTCGGTAATCCTAACCCACTTCTGCAGGTAAGAAAACAGCGAGGAATGAAAGAGTAACATTGTCATAGTCAGTTTTCATAGAATGAAAGTTCATCTGTGTTGGTATACTTCATTACGGCAAAAAAGGCCAGGACTAAACGTTCTTGCCAACACTGAGTAATTGGGACTTACCCAAATTTTCGTCGGCCGAAAATTTGGGTAAGTCCCAGTTTACTCAGTGTTGGCAAGAACGTTTAGTCCTTATTGTCATTATAACAGTTTTCATAGCGTATTATTTACACAAATTCCATCCTCTCCCCACCAATTACCCTGCTTATATTTATTTCAAGTTGACCGTTGCCACAATTCAGATAATATATGCAAGATCTTGTCAATTGCATCAATACTAAAACTATAGATGGTTCTCATAACGTTGTACATGTATCGGTTGGAAATAGAAGATATGCTCTGAATATTGAAGCCGTTGGTCCGGCCGTCTGTACAATGCAGTGTTAGTCTCATGTAAAGGCCTGGCATCACTATTAACTTTAGCAGTACTTTTTATCAAACCTAACATTTACACCTGTGTCATGTAGACTGGCGACCCTGTGGCGACTTCCCGTGGGACACTGATGACGTCACCGTCAGCTGTGACTACACCTACACTGACGTGAAGCAGTGGGACGCGTACGACTGGTACAGTTCATCAGAACCTCCCCTAGTTCTACACGGCCGGTGTACCGTGACCTGCCCGTCAGAAGCCAACATGTTGGTGGGTCCTCCGCATTCTGCCAGTCCCGGATACCACGTGAACGACGGAGCTTATTACTGCAACGTGGGCAACAGCACATGGATGGGATCAGAACCCGTGTGTCTGGGTAAGGCTAGGAAACAGCACAACATCAATTCAAGCAACATTGACATTCGATTATCTAACAGACTAAAAATAGATATATGACTTTTACGTGTTGAATCATAACGGGGATACTAGTACTTTCCAAGGCAAGGGCAGCATTATCAAAAGTGAATTATGAAAATTTTGGACATTAGGACATTATCTTCACTACAGAATAGGTAACACCTGAAACGTCTTTGGTAAGTTATTGTACAGCAACATAGGATTATGTTAACCTGGCAGACATATAGAAATATAATGAAATGACTTATATGGTTATACTAAAATCTCAAATTATACATGATAAAAAATGCAGCAAAATATAGCCGTATTCCATCCGAATGTTACATACAGGTCATTTCAACAGCTCCACCGTCATCACGGACGATACCAACTCGGTCCGGCTGGTGGGGGGAGAGTTCTACGGCTGTGTGGAGCTGTACGATGACGTCACGGGGCAGTGGGGGCCTGTCAGGGGGTGGGACGTTGATTATTGGAGTTCTAAGTTCGAAGACAGAATGTCCTGGGTCGACTTGGCGTGTAGAAACATAGGGTTGGGGGAGGGTCTTGCCACAAGTGCCTACGAGTTAACAAATGGAGTTGTTAGTAGCTACTATCCTGAGCTCTTACAGTGGTACTACCGCCTCTCCTACCCCTCCACTGTCCCCAAGTTCATGGTTTCCCAGTCCCTTCCCCAGTGGGAGGGCGCGACTTTACGTGATGCCATCGACCGGGTGGACCGAGGGAGCGGTACCAGCTACAGCGACTACATGTGTCTGGTCTGTGGTACGTGTACGTGGGTTAAACATTCAATTTATTTTAAAAACTCGCATGTAAAGTGGGTGGACACTTACCTTAAATGAACATCATCCAGCTGGTACACTGATGGAGGAAAGCGAGGGGTCGAGGGGGAATTTTCTGTTTCTTTTCCAGAAACCTGGAGCCTGGTAGAGGCTAACTGTACTGTCTAACGTCACATCCGCACTCCCCCCATACAGACCACACACCTTGTGGCGACTTTCCCTGGGACACTGATGACGTCACCGTGAGCTGTGGCTACAACTACAGTGACGTATGGCACTGGCCTAGCGTGAACGGTTCACCTACAGAAGCCCCAACAGTCCTACAGGGCCGGTGTACCGTGGCCTGCCCGCCAGAAGCCGACATGTTGGTGGGGCCTCCACTTTATAGCGCCGGATACTCCATGAACGACGGAGCTTACTACTGCAACGTGGGCAACAGCACATGGATGGGAACAGAACCCGTGTGTCTGGGTAAGGCCTTGCTGTCCTTGCTATCTTTTTTCAGGGAGAGCAAAATTCTTCGCGTTATGATGTAATTCATTATAATGCCACGCATACCATTATCATAATTGATAAAATCTGTGCTAGAAATTGACAAAGTCTATTGTTTTGTTTTTGTTTGTTTGTTTTTTATTTATTTACCCAGGGTAAACATGTCGCCGCAAGGGCGTCTATAATGTATGAATGAATGAATGTAATGAATATACAATTATTTTTATTCGCTTGAACAATTTTTTTTCATCTTTCCATTCATATCCACCACCATGCCTCACTGAGTACCTATCTTTTCTGTGGCTACCTTTGCAAAACATCATCACACTTCATTCTCAGCCTGTATTACGGTATAGGAATCAAACAAATGATAAAGGACTTCATTTTTTTTTGTTTCCGCCACAGGTCATTATAACACCTCTATTGTCATCACGGACGATACCAACAGGACCCGGCTGGTGGGGGGAGACTTTTACGGCTGTGTGGAGCTGTACGATGACGTCACGGGGCAGTGGGGGAATGCCAGGGGGTGGGAACCTTGGGAGTATGGAATCCATTACGAAGCAAGAATGTCCTGGGCAGACTTAGTGTGTAAAAACCTGGGTTTCAGGGAGGGGCTGGCTACAGGGGCCTACGAGTTAAGTAATGGAGTCGTTAGTGGCTCATATCCATGGGCTGTTTCCTTACAAGACCACTACAGCCCCTCCTACCCCTCCACTGTCCCCAAGTTCGTGGTGTCCCAGTCCCTTCCCCAGTGGGAGGGCGCGACTCTGCATGACGCCATAGACCATGTGGACCGAGGGAGCGGCAGCAATTGGGGCAGCATGTGCCTGGCCTGTGCAGGAGAACGGACACAAGGCGGCCAACAAGGCGAGTCTTTCATGGAAATGTAGATACCTTATTAAATGACATCTTCCAATTTGTTTTTTTTTATTCAAAGCCCGAGACTATAACAACAATTATAACATTCATCCCTATGCATGCTAAAGATAGCCTGTCTGTCATGCAAAAGCTACCGTAAGAATGCAGGTAACGGTAAACGTTTGGTGAATGGAGCTTCTTAATCCCCAACATTACAATTGTTGATTTTGGAGAATGGGGGTTCTTGTCTCCCACTTTTCAGTTGATTTTCCTTCCAGACATCGCTGCCCAGGTGACCTGCACGTCGGACCACCTGGAGGTGAGTTTCCCGCGCCCTCCGGACAACTCCGTACAGGCGGCGGACGTGCAGCTAGCAGCGCCGCCTTGCAGGGCGGAACAGAACTCCACCCACATCTACATCCGGACTGCTCTGGGGGAATGTGGCACAGCGAAAGAGGTAAGTGAACACACACGCACACACATACACACACACCAACACACACACACACACACACACACACACACACATACACAAACACACACACACACACACACACACACCAACACATACACACAGAGAGAGAGAGAGAGAGAGAGGCGTGCACACACACATACACACTGACAACACAGCTAGCAGGCAGGCTTTTCACAAAATGGACCCCTCAAACTACTGCTACCATGTGTGACTTTCCTTGTACGGACGATATATTTGTATACTATATTCCTTTACATCAAATCCTGCCCTTTATTCCCTACCCCCAGACCACCCCGACTGAGATGATTTACCGGAACACCCTGACCGTCGGGGCCGACCCTTCGCACGGCGGCATCACCTGGCAACAACTCACTAAGGTTGGACAATCAATCATCAATATATCTATCTATCAATAAATAAATCAATAAATCGATCAATTGATCTATCTATCCATCTATCAGCCAATACTATATTCAGGGCTCAAAATTTTATATACTTGAAAGTAGCATCGTCGAAGAGAATTTTGTAACATCAATAGCTACTAGATTGCCTTTCTCATATTGATTTTTGAAAAGCAAACTAGAAGTAGAAGGCAAAGAGACTATAAGTTAGGTAAAACTTGTCTGGTACAGATAATTTTGAATGTCGCCTGCACCAGAGCAGGTATGCAGAAAAGTATTTTGATCCCTACTAAGATCATAACACAGTAACACTTGTATTCTGTTTCCCTTCCATCCTTAACCGAGGTGCCCCTGGAGTGTCGCCTGCCGCGGAACAAGACCCTGTCTCTGGACTTTCGGCCTCATCTCAAGTCCGTTTTCCGGTCCGGCGTAGAGGGCGAGGGCGAGTTCCGGATCTCCATGGAGCTTTTCCGGACTGACGGATTCCGGCAGCCGGTGACGGAGTATCCAGTGTTCGTGGAGTTGCAGGAGGTAAGTCCGGAATATCCGGTATTGGTGGCTTTACACCAATTTAGTCCGGAATGTCCGGTGTTTGTGGAGTTACAGCAGGTTAGTGATACATTGGCAATGAGAATGACTTTGACCGCTAGCACTGTGTTCCAGATGATCCACGTGCAGATCCAGGTGAACTCCAGTGACGCCGACCTTCAGGTGTTCCCTCGCACCTGCGTGGCCACGCCTAGCGACGACCCTAGCGACAAGACACGGAATGACGTCATCGTCGACGGGTGAGTGCCGTCGTTGTGTACCACGTAAACAAACAGTTTTTTTGTCAGTCTTAATCAGGAAAAACCTAAAATTTACTTCCGCTACAAACAGTTACCCATCAAATGAGATGTTTATACCGGCTATACAGATACAGATACAGATCTTAAGAAGTGTTTTGGCCACGCCTTAGGGGGGAATGCTAAGTGAACGAGCCCCACGGCTCGTTAACTCATGACAGACCACAAGAAGGCTTCTCAAAATCATGAAATCATAACAGTGCCATGCAAACAATAACCCTAACAAGAACCACCGTCGCCATGGCAATGTATATTTTCATTATCCGTCTTATTGTTTACTAAAGTATTTATACATACTGTTTGTTTTCTTCCCAGTTGCGCCAAGCTGCCGACGCTGCAGTTCTACCCGTCGCCCGGTCCGGACAGGGGGCGCTTCGGCTTCCAGGCGTTTGCCTACACCAGCGGCGCTCCCACGGTAATTTGTACTCTAAAAACTCTATTTTGTTACATAGAGGAACAACTTTATATGCTTTGGTATATCACAAGCGCACCATTTTGGCAAAGGCCTGATAAGTGCACAAGTGATAAGTTTCAAACAGGTAAAAAATAGTTAGCCTTCTAGCTAGAGGGGCTAAAGGACACCGTAGTATCTGCTTGGAGATGAGGTAGGACGTACATTTCCCCTGGTTCCTTCCTAGGTGTACCTGCACTGTGACGTGCTGCTGTGTAAGGCCTCGGACCCGAACTCCCGCTGCGCGCAGGGCTGCCAGACGCCCTCGGGCAGGAGGCGGAGGGAGGCCGAGGGCGAACCCGAGGTCTACCGGCTCATCCAGGGACCCATCGTGCTCGGGGACGACCAAACTGGTAAGTGTAAAATTGCTAAAAAGTTCGTCGTGTTTGTTTTGTTTAAAAAGTCAGCCTAAGACGATTTCTTTATCTACTTCATGATTCACCACAAAACAAGGCTCATGGGAGCCACATAAATGCTGTGGGTTACTGTACAGCCAGTGAGGACAGATATTTGTTGACCTTAGATTTGAGAAGTTTAAGGTTGTACCCCTTTGGAAAACAATCACATGGTAGCTTGTTCCATAGTGATGTTGTTCTAAGAAAATAGCTTTCAGCGTGGAACTTCCTCCTAAGAGGTGGTGAATGGAGGAAGAAAGGGTGATTTGCTTCTGTGGAAGTGGCAAAGCGTGCCCGTGCTGAGAATGTACGAGGTGGAGTCACTAGCGAGTAAAGTTTTGAGGAGTATTTACCGTGGAAAAAGCGATAAAATAACGCAAGGCTTGCGTCAGAATATGTGTGTATCAAGCATGGCCTAAGGTATCGTATTTAGTGAACAAATATTTTGTTTATTTATTTCGTTTTCGTTGTCCACAGGGCGCAAAAGTCTGGACCTGTTCACAGTTTCCGGCATCATGGGCGCATGCGCGTTGTTGCTGGCCGCCGCCATGTTTGTTCTGGGCGTCCTGTACAAGGCACGCCGGGAAGGCAGGCAGTCTGGGTACAGGGTGTTGGAGAACACCGACTGAGTAGGGACCCCCCCCCCCCATGACGTACATGTGCGCCTCCAATCATGATTAAAAAAGTAACCAATGATGGGTCTCTTCTTGTGCCTGTGCATGAGCACAAATATTGCACGTGTGTGTTACTAGTATGGAAATACTACTACCCTGTAGTTTAATATGGTAAAGATACGAAATGTACCCTTTGTTCAACATGCTAAAAACTGTCGGTGTCTGTATAAAGCACGGTTCTGGGTACAACAGGCCCCTGTCCAAGACATACCTCTGAAATAAACTGTACAGAAGTGTAGTAGTTGACCTGATGAGGTCACATGGTGATTGACAAGCTGCTCTGACATGAGATATGGCAGCTACAAGCGCCAATTATACATGCTCTTTATTATCAGTTTTGGCGCGTACATCTTATCTGTGTTTTACCTTATTGAAAGATTACGTTACAATAACACTAAGGGTGTAAAGGCGTACATGTATCTCGTGGCATTGCCGGTAACAAGTGAACGATTTATGTTTCTGGCCCTTCACTTTATTAATACTCTTGGCGTGTAATTTAGCTTATCTGTGTTAATTACTACTTATCAAATAATTACGATGCAAAAACACAAAGGAGCTACACCGGGCTATCGCGTCTCTAGGAAAGCTCTATGTCGCGTTTAGTGCATTTTATTGACATGCGAACTATCTAAAACCGTGTCTGAGAACACTTTTGTTGGTGTTAATTTGCCTTATAACTGAACCAGTCGAATGTAAATAATAATAATAGCAATGTTCACTTTAAATCGTCGAACGTTTCAAAATTAACAGAAAGGTCAACGTACAAAAATTACATCGTAAAGGCGTATCTTGTGGCATTGCCGGCAACATTGTTCACCAGTTCACCATTGTACACGAGTAATTTGTGCTACTAGATCTTTATCAGTAGTTCTGGTGTATTCATCTTATCTGTGTTTTACCTTATTGAATGATTACGTTGGAATAACACTAAGGGTGTGAAGGCGTACTATATGTATCTCGTGGCATTGCCGGTATCAAGTGAACGATTTCTGTTTCTGGCCCTTCACTTTATTAATACTCTTGGCATGTAATTCAGTTTATCTGCGTTAATTACTTATAAAATAATCGCGATGCAAAAACACAAAGGAGCTACACCGGGCTATCGCGTCACTCGGAAAGCTCTATGGCGCGTTTAGAAAATTTTAAAGTCATGGGGATTATCCAGAACCGTGTTTGAGAACACTTTTGTTGGTTTTAATTTGCCTTATACTTATAGCTGACACAGTCGAATGTAAATAATAATAATAGCAATTTTTTCCTTTAAATGATCGAACGTTTCAACATTAACGGAAAGGTCAACGTACAGAAATTACATCGTAAAGGCGTATCTTGTGGCATTGCCGGCAACAAGTGAGTGATTTGTGTTTCTGGCTCTTTATTACAAACTGTAGTTTTAGTGTCTACATCTTATCTGTGTTTTACCATTAAAGTTATTGAATGATTGCGTAGGAATAACACTAAGGGGGTAAGGCGTACTTCGTCGCATTGCCGGTATCAAGTGAGTGATTTATGTTTCTGGCCCTTTACTTTATTAATACTCTTGGCGTGTAATTCAGCTTATCTGTGTTAATTACTTATAAGATTTTTTTATTCTAACATGTAATCACTAGACGTAGCGACGGCACACTCAAGTTTTTTCAACTTATATTAATCCCACCACCAACACGGGACAAATACATGACAGGACAATACTCATTTTCACCTAAGCGAAGTGAGGACAGTCGTGTAAAGTGCCTTTCCCAAGGGCACAAGATCGGTGGCATGTCAGGACTCGAAACTGTGACCTCCAAGTTCCGAGTCGCGCACTCTGCCGCTACGCCATACGACCCCACAAATAAAATAATTGCGATGCAAAAACACAAAGGAGTTACGCCGGGCTATCGCGTCTCCCGGATTGAATTTTGACGCGTTTATGACATTTTATAGACCTTTAATAAACGCGTATCTAAACTGGTGGGGAAGCGCAGCTGCTAGATGGGCCGGTAGTATGTGCGCGTTTTGGTTGTACGTTTAGGCCACTCAAACCGAGCCTGGTGTATAACATCACTGCAAGCAGTTTGTTGGTTTTGCATTCCCCCTGCCAAACAAGAGGAAACCTCGTTAGATGTTCATTTTCTGTAGCATCGTCGTCACAAGGTTTTTTGCAATTGCAGTTATGGGAACCATCGGTAGGTGCATCAGTTAGTCTTTCAGTAATTTGTTCCGCTGGAATTCTGGTAACCGAAATATTAGAGACGAGTCTCTATTTGTACTAATTACATTGTAACTAATAATTGATAAACAAGGGTTATCTCCAAGCAGATTCCTCTCGGGGGCAAAAAGACAGTATCAAATTGGCCAGGCAATATCCATTAGCCAGAGAAGGTCCGCGGTCACCGACGGGTGGTGGGGGTCAGGACAAAAAACGGCCATATATAAAAATGTAACGATCATTCGCCCACAACCTCTGCTTGGAGAGTAAAACATGGGGTCGTAAGTAGCATGTCGTGAAATGTTTACCACTGATGTTTTTTTTTCTTTTCCTTGTTGTTGAATGTACATATTATTTTTAGTACTCATCTGAGTTTAGGTTTGGAGATCATTCTCCATAATATCACGTTCAAGGTGCCTGTTCTTCAAAGGCACGAAATTAACAGTCAGTAAAATATAACAGTCAGAAGCCTCAACAAGCTTATCGTGGGAACAGACCAGCATTCGGAAATTGCTCCAGTTTTATATACCTATGACTTAATTTTGCACAAAAGCTGCGGTCCGTTCATTATTCAATGATTAGATAAGGTCTGACATTTGCCGTCTCTGAGTTTAGGATATAAACTCTCGACGCGGTTCTCTCGGCACAAGTGGAGCCAGAAAGGTTCCATTCCGTTCGAATTTCTGCTGTTGCTGACGAGAACCTGTCCAGTTGAGAGTCTAGTGCAGCGATGTTGGTGCTGCTGATTGCAGTGTGTGCGGTCCTGCCGCTGGTGTCCGGTTGGACGACCCCTCCTGTAGGTAAGGAAAAATAGTTGGCATTTCCTAGGTCTCGAAAGACCATGAAAGTACATTCTTCTACGTCATGTACCTATTGTTTATCTTTATGTTTCGACCGTTTAAGTTCTGATGCGAGTCTTTGTTTAGGTAAGGAAAACTAGGAATGTAAGAATAACATAACAGGGGATGTTAGGTAGAAGTAACAGCATGGTTATAATCGAGTAAATGTAAAATATACTGACACGCTTTACCGTGTTACCATGTTTAGCTAATTCAATATTTGTCTGGCAAAGTCAGTTTTCATAACGTTGATACGAATTTTTTTTTCCTTTTACCCTCTCTCATTCGTCCTGTACATTTTATTGTCAGTCTAGTTTACCATTGCTAAACTCCAGATACTCTACCACTTTGTCAATTGTACTAAACCTTTACGAAAGTTTTATCAGAACGTTTGATCTGTTGGAAATGCACTGAATATTGACGTCTTTGTCGTCGGTTCTGTACTCTGTGCAGTTCTGACGTCAGCATAAGTGACATTACTTAAGAAGTCCATTTTATCTAACCTTATATTCACACCTGCAGACTGGCGACCTTGTGGCGACTTCCCGTGGGACACGGATGACGTCACCGTGGACTGTGACTACAGCTACAGTTCTAGTTCTTACTACAATCATCGACACGGCCGGTGTACAGTGACCTGTCCCAGGGAGGCCGTCATGCTCGTGGGTCCTCCTTCTCTAAGAAGTTACTTTCATCAGGACGGCGATTACTACTGCAACGTGCGCAACACCACATGGATGGGATCAGAACCCGTGTGTCTGGGTAAGGCTTTACCATTGAAACTTTATCATTACGTAGAATCTGTGTCTCTCATTGGAACATGAAATAGCATGGGTACCATTTGCTCAAAGTTATCCAAGGTGCAGGTGCATATGGCCTGGACTGTATATACGTAACTCGAACTTGTTTGCTCTGGTTAATAATAAACCTGGCTTAAAATGACTTTGAACCTGGTATACTACTTTCACCATGGTATAAACATACAAACAAATGTGCATATATAGTATTTGTTTGCCTTTATTTATTGATGAAAAAAAATGGGCCTGTTGTTGGCCCCATTTTATCGAGGGCAGGGTCGAGGAATGTAAGGAAATTTTGACATTAGAAAACCAGTGTTCAACCCTTCATTCAACACAGGTAGTTACAACAGCTCCACCGTCATCACGGACGATACCAACGGGATTCGTCTGCGGGGGGGAGAGTTCTACGGCTGTGTGGAGATGTACGATGACGTCACGGGGCAGTGGGGGCCTGTCAGGGGGTGGGACGTTAAATGGTCGGGTTCTCAAAACGATGCCAGAATGTCCTGGGCCGATTTAGCGTGTAGAGACCTGGGTTTCAGGGAGGGGCTGGCTACACACGCCTACCCGTTACGTAATGGCGGCGTAAGTAACTCATTGCCTGAACCCATACAACGCCACTACTACTATTCACACCCCTCTACTGTCCCCAAGTTCATAGTCTCCCAGTCCCTTCCCCGGTGGGAGGGCGCGACTCTGCATGACGCCATAGACCGGGTGGAGCGAGGGGACTACTGTCTTACCAACGACAGGACCTGCAGCAAGGACTACATGTGCCTGGCCTGTGCAGGAGAACGGACACACAATGTCAATGGTAAGTAACTCACATAACGTCAGTAGATTATAGATACAAACTTTACATTCTATCTACCTAGTACTGCTGTAATACCATTGGTTATACATACTTAACTGATTGGTCTATTGATTGATTGAGGCTAGTCACTGAAAATTTACAATTTTTGTTGGTCGATGAAGGTTCTAGATAACTGTTACCTTCACATTGCATATTTGTGGACTGCTTGCCATGTTAGTTGTTTCTAAGCTGCTCATGTAACCTCACCTGTCCTACAGGCACCACACGCTGTGGCCCCTTCCCCTGGGACAATGATGACATCACCGTGGACTGTGACTACAACTACACTGACGTGATGGGACCAGTAAATCAGCAGGCCCGACAGTACTGGTGGACCACGGAATCTCCGTGGTACATGACCACAGACGATCCATGGTACGTGACCACGGAAGCCCCCTCAGTGCCGGTACAAGGACGATGTACCGTGACCTGCCCCAGGGACGCCGACATGTTGGTGGGTCCTCAGCCCTCTGGCGACGGAGCTTACTACTGCAACTTGGGGAACAACACATGGACAGGATCTGAACCCAGGTGCTTAGGTAAGCGTTAAACAGCGCAGACTGTTCACTGGAATTGTCAACATTTTATGTCTTGTTTATGATAAATGTGTGAAACTAAACTAACCTGTGCAGCCTAAAACGCAACGTGAATTCGGGTAGCGACTGGTTTTGCTTACATTTAGCCGAACTGTGTCTGTATCTGTATAGCCGGTATAACCGCCTTTCAGCGTAACACACCAGCTTCTGTATCTGTATAGCCGGTATAACCGCCTTTCAGCGTAACACACCAGCTTCTGTATCTGTATAGCCGGTATAACCGCCTTTCAGCGTAACACACCAGCTTCTGTATCTGTATAGCCGGTATAACCGCCTTTCGGCGTAACACACCAGCTTCGCAGGCATGCGGCACGGCGACAGCTGGCTACATTACACCGATCGGCTTGTTACACTTAACCCTTGAACTTCTAACTCTAGGCATTTAGAAAGGTTTGACACACTCGTATTGTCACACTTCTAGCAAACCTGTAAGCATCTTTGTTGATGGTTTGGGTGTGATCCAAGAATCACCTTTTTCCGTTTTTTTTTTTTCATATCAGTGTCTATGTCCCCAAGTACAACTCAGGGCATATTTTCTTTTTTGTGTGTTTCCCTCACAGCTCGCTTCAACAGCTCTGTCGTCATCACGGACGATACCAACACGGTCCGGTTGGTTGGGGGAGAGTTCTACGGCTGTGTGGAGATGTACGATGACGTCACGCGGCAGTGGAGGCTTGTCGGAGGCTGGGACGCTGAGGGGGGTCATCACGAAGACAGGATGTCCTGGGCCGACTTAGTGTGTAAAAATCTGGGTTTCAGGGAGGGGCTGGCTACACACGCCTACCCCTTAACAAATGGAGTTGTCAGTAGATCCCACCCTTATTCCTTACAACACCAGTACAGGGGTCCGTTTTACCTCGACAGTAACGGAAACGAATTCAAAGTTTCCCAGTCCCTTCCCCAGTGGGAGGGCGCGACTCTGCATGACGCCGTAGACTGGGAATCAAGAGGTGGATGTTGGGCCATCGCCTCTGACAATGAATGCGTGTACATGTGTCTGGCCTGTGCGGGAGATCAGAATATGGGTTCGTACCGATCACATCATGTACTTAGCATTAGATGCTAGTCAACACATTTAAAACAGAACATTCTTTGATTATTCATTGATCATTTTATCTGTGTGTCTAACCATCCCAAATGTATGCATGCAGGTTTTACATTGTCTACTGTTTCTTCTCCTTTCTGACGTAACACTTAACCATAAATATTTTTCTACAGGCATCCATGCCGAGGTGACCTGCACGTCGGACCACCTGGAGGTGAGTTTCCCGCGCCCTCCGGACAACTCCGTACAGGCGGCGGACGTGCAGCTAGCAGCGCCGCCTTGCAGGGCGGAACAGAACTCCACCCACATCTACATCCGGACTCATTTCGAGAAATGTGGCACTTCGACTCAGGTACATTTTCCACTGACCTACGATGATATCTGCTATTGCAAATTGTAACTAGAAGCTGGAGGCAAACAAGAAATAGGTGAAGTTTAGGAGCCTATTTCTGCAATATATCACCACTTCAGCACTTCAATGATGTGACTAAGATAGACTTTCGGTTTGTTATCTTGGGCTAAAGAGATTTTCTCCTTTCTTTCAGACCTACCTACACCTGGCGAGGGTGCGGGCGGACACATTTGGCTATGTGTGACAGGAGTTTAAGATAGACTTTGGTTCATCATTTGGGCCTGAATAATTTTTAGGGGCTAAAAAAAACTTTTGTATTCTTTCCCCAGACCACCCCGTCCGAACTGATCTACCGGAACACCCTGACCGTCGGCGCCGACCCCTCCAGCGGCGGCATCACGTGGGACCGACTTCCCAAGATCCTCCTGGAGTGCCGCCTGCCGCGGAACAAGACCCTGTCCCTCCACTTCCGGCCGCATCTCAAGTCCGTTTTCCGGTCCGACGTACAAGGGGAGGGAGAGTTCGAGATCTCCATGCAGCTGTTCCGGACTGACAAGTTCTGGCAGCCGGTTACGGAATATCCGGTTTATGTGGACCTACGACAGGTTAGTCCGGAATATCCGGTATTAGTGGTTTTACACCAATTTAGTCCGGAATATCCGGTGTTTGTGGACCTTCGGCATGTTAGTCGGGAATATCCGGTGTTTATGGACCTACGGCAGGTTAGTCCGGAATATCCGGTATATGTGGACTTACGGCAGGTTTGTGCAAAGCTACGTATATACGACCTTCAATTGGCTCACCGAATTGTCTACGGATCTCCAAACAGATCTCCTTGAGGGCAAGACAATATCAAATTGGCCAGGCAGTATCCATTTCGTCCCCGTAACTGAATATTGTGTGGCCATTTGATAGTGTTTTGCCCCTGTGAAATCTACTCGGAGATTCTTGCTGACCAGATCCAAGGTCTTCTTTACGATGGCCAACCAGATTCCTGTTGTCATGACACGTAGCCTTCAGGACTCGAGGCGTGAGCAATTGGTGAAAGGTGTTTGGAAGTCGGCACCGTCCCCCGTTCTTCTTGGCCCAAATTTCTTGTGCCCTGGTGTGGATGAAATATTACAACGAAAATGTCTCATTTGGCGTCCTGCTCTCTAAAGATTGCCATCATTGCCATTGTCCTAAGATGTGATACATAAGTGTAGGGGTAGGATTTGTGTCCTTCCAGCAGCAACGCATCTGGTGTGAATTGAGAGCAATAAAGGACAAAGACCCACGTGTCCCTAGAACCAGTATTGCCCAAGTTGTGGTCATCCTTTTATCAAGGATATGCTTATATCAAGCCTCAGTATATATAACACTGGTGGCTGCGGTGGGATGTATATATATATTATATAACATAAGTAATGACTTTGACTTGTATTTTTAGGTGATCCACGTGCAGATCCAGGTGAATTCCAACGGCACCGACCTTCAGGTGTTCCCTCACACCTGCGTGGCCACGCCTAGCGACGACCCTAGCGACAGGACACGGAATGACGTCATCGTCGACGGGTCAGTACAATGTCAATATTTCGTCCTTAAATTCACCAGTAATGAGACTAATGTCATATACAGTCTTAAAACCTTTAAAAATTCTAAATTTAAAAGTATATACATACGTTTTTCCTTCCCAGTTGCGCCAAGCTGCCGACGCTGCAGTTCTACCCGTCGCCGAGTCCGGACAGGGGGCGCTTCGGCTTCCAGGCGTTTGCCTACACCAGCGGCGCTCCGACGGTGTGCAACATTTAAGTTTTCCGCAAACATTTGTAGATTTAAAAATTTGTGAAGTCTAGTCCTGTTTCACATCGAAATCACTGAGCGATTGTGGATACATACATTTTGGAGGGGAGTGATTGTGTTTGTAGAATGTACACATTGTCAGCCAAAGATTTTAAGAAAGATGTATGTCGGTTTCTGTCTTTTAACGAGCCCCAGAAGTCTAACCAGCTGTGTATGTACATGTACTGACTTGTATGATGTAGTAGCATGGGTGCCCCCCGCTTCGCATCGGGCTCCTTACACTTGTTTTTCGACTGGCGAGTGTAGGTGCCCGTGGCAAATCATAATCTACAAGCGGACCTAGATCTTTTGGTCGCTGCAATGACGGAATCAAATTGGTCAGGCTTTATTTATTCATTTGCCAGACAGTATCCCATACCACGAATTTGATACAGCCTGTCAAATTTGGTTCTGTCTTTGTAGCCACCAAAAGGCTACTTGGAAATTAGCAGATCGAGTGTTGCACCCAATGTCCTACATCTGCCTAGCCTGGGTGCCAGACCCACAGCACACAAAGCTGAAAGTTAACCCTGCACACAGGATAACTTTGAACATAGTGTGCTGTGAGTCCGGCACCCAGGCTAACATCTGCCGCGTTCCTTGTACTACCCAGGTGTACCTGCACTGTGACGTGCTGCTGTGTAAGGCCTCGGACCCGAACTCCCGCTGCGCGCAGGGCTGCCAGACGCCCTCGGGCAGGAGGCGGAGGGAGGCCGAGGGCGAACCCGAGGTCTACCGGCTCATCCAGGGACCCATCGTGCTCGGAGACGACCAAACTGGTGAGCATAAAAACCACTTCTCTTTCTAGCAAGTCATTATTATATTCACCGAAGGAAAGCACATTGTTTTTGCTCTGTTTTCTCTTCTTCTTTTTCTTCTCCAAACAAGTAAGGTCAATGACCTGAACCAGACGTCAGCCACCATGGTAACTGGTGTTGGGTTACATCATGTTGCAGTTTTATAGCAGGAGGGATTATGCTTTGCAAAATGCTAATTTGAATTTTGTATGTAGCCTGATAATCATTAGAGCATAACGTAGAATACACTCCACCCTAAGGTACGTTCTTGTTTACCAGTATCGAATATATCCAATTCACGTGACAAAATATCCATTTTTCGTGATTCCCAGATTTCCAGGCGCGGGTTCGCAGCCCCAACTCTGGCCGCCAGGACCTGGTCACAGCCTCCTCCATCCTGGGCGCATGCGCGGTGCTGGCCGCCGCCATGTTTGTTCTGGGCGTCCTGTACAAGGCACGCCGGGAAGGCAGGCAGTCTGGGTACAGGGTGTTGGAGAACGCGGAATAAGCCGCCATGTTGGGGCGTGTAAAATCATAACTCTCACTCACTCACTCTCTCCCGTAGCTTAGTCAGTCTCAGAGGCCGCATGATGCTTGGAAAAGGCTTTCCACTGATCACAATCTTCTGCCAGTCTGTATTAAATAAAATGAAATGAAAGACCTTTATTGTACATTCATGCAATGACGGGCTAGGTACAGGTCAGGGCTTAACAGACACATAGCAAACGTATGTAGAAAAGTGGAGACAAAGGATACACTACTTGACTTAGACACACATACATAAGATCTATTAAAGCCAATCTATTAGTCCCAACTTAAATCTGTGTCATCTCATTTTTTTTAATATATACTTTCACAAAATCCACCTACTACCTTTCCGTTACATCATTAAAATTCTCCATCCAGTTTTTTTCCTACCACCCGTTGGCCATGACGCCATAGAATTGAAGTTCTTTAATTCGGGTACGTCACCCATAGAAGATAGAAGACAACCATTTCAAAGAAACCATGCAGTCACTGTCATCAGTTCTTCCGCTCCCGTTTCCCGCCATTGACGTAAAAAAAAAAACAGTACAAATGACCTTGTGACTGGGACAAAAACCCGCAGGGGTCACACTGATAACGACGCCCACTGCGCACGCCCACTGCGCACACCCGGAAGCACCCGCGTAGGCGAGCCCGCGCGATGACGTCAACCCCGCGAAACGCGTCCGGCGCCCAAAGGGAGGATTCTGTCAGCCCTAACTAAAGTTGGCGGGAAACAGCCTTGGAGGGACTGATTAAGCTTCCTGTGATTGGCAGCTCAGTGGACCGTAAACTCTAGTGACGTCACTATGACGTCAGGTGATTCAATTTTGAAATAAAGGCAGCTCCGAGGTATGTGTGCATGTGACAGCAGTTTCATATGGGATCATTAGCCTCTACCAGGCTTCTGGAGGCGGCTGGAAAGAGTAGACATTGGCCTAATAGAGAGAGATAACATGCCAGGGGAGTTGGTCCACTAGAGAGTACAGTTTTCGGGTGCGGCAAACTGTTCTCTCTAGCGGACCAACTTTCCTGGCATGCTATCTCTCTATGTGGCCAAAGTCTACTCTTTCCAGCCACCTCCCGAAGCCTGGTAGAGGCTAGCGATCCATATTTATACTCTCCAAGCAGAAGTTGGTGAGAAAAGATTGTGAATATGCCCCCCCTTTTTTTCTGTTGCTACCCTCACGTTGACAGCTGTGTAGTATACACGCCCTCTAGCGCCGTGTAATGTACTGCAGTTACCGATAGTACAATTCACGAAACAATAGGGTCAATAATTGGACATGGGAGTAAGCCGACGACCCCAGTAACGAGCACAGGCAAAAGCCACTGGGGAATAATTCTCCCTGTAGCCAGCATAGCTAGTCAGGTGAAGACTTAACTAGTAACCACTATTGAGAGAACAGTACATGATGGCCCATGATTAGTAACCGTGAAAGAAGTTGCCCCAGCCGACCAAAAATAGCTCCTAGTCTGACTTGTTTTCCCAAATGTTCTACAAATTACTACCTCTGGTGCTGCTCAATGTAGTTAGTTGTACCAATTATAATCTCCAAGCAGATTCGATGGGGCAAGGGGACTTTATCTCAGCCGCCTGTATCCAAGGTTCCGCGCTATGGACA